CTGGGATTTTTATTTTTTTTCGCTATGTAAATGAAAATGTCCAAAAATTTTGAAAAAAAAGTTTTTCTTATAAATTTTGGAAATAAATAATATTTCATCATAAATCTTGGCCAAAATGTATTCCGTTATCTTTTTAGTAAAAAAAAAAAAAAAAAACCCAAATTAGTTTATAACCAAAAATTATAATTTCAAACATTTTTTTTTTTTACATATTGTCACCCTAGCAGTATGGTGACACTGTACTACTTGTGGGGGGTGATGAAGATATTTTTTTTTTTTTTTTTTTTTTTTTACACCGATTGATTTGACAGCCTTTATGGGTGTAAAAGCAATAATTTCTCCTCTCTGGCTGCATTCTTGCAGCCATTGAGAAATACTGTGTGCGCTGTGATTGGTCACAGCTTGTCACATGGTACAAGGCTGTTGTTAATAGCCCTGTACCATGTGATCTCTGTGATCATTCACAGATTTCACACGTAGTAAGCAATGATGTCACAAGTGACATCTTGCTTACTTCTCTGCATGTGATCACTGATTGGCCTATCAGTGATCAAATGATCGGGACCTCGCACAGAGGTCCCATCCAACAATCGGTGTTCCACTGTGTCGGAGGACACACCGGGCATGGGTTTGTGGTGCTGCCACGCTCCCAGGGAGCACGCACAAACAGGGTGCGGGGAAGCCATTTATAAATGGCCACCCGACCCTGAACTGTATATAAATGGGCGGACGGGAGGTGGTTAAATATGTAAGGGTTGGGGCCACCCAGGAACATCACCTGATTGATGTCACATGGGGTGGAGTCACATGTGTGATGTCCCCAGGTGGTCCCGCCCCTTACCTATTTAAGAACTGTCAAACCACCGGAGCAGGCAGAGGGCTGGCAGCCATCACTATGAACAGAACTTTTTTTGTTTTTTTTTTTCCCAGGTTGGCGGCGGCGGGCATCGTGATTGATGCTGGATCTACTGCGGGGGACATTCTTTTAGTTTTTTTCTCTCAATAAAGGACTTGTCAAAGACGTCTCCTGTCTTTTTCACACTACACTTTTTGTTAATGACTAGCGGTACCATGTACTCCATACTCATTCACATGGGGGGGCAGGATCTTCCAGATTCCGATAAGCCCCCTGCCTGCAGACCCCCAGAACCACCAACCAGGGTTGTGGGAGAAGAGGCCCTTGTCCCCATCAACATGGGAACAAGGTCCTTTGGCGTGGGAGTTCCCCTCAAAATCCATACCAGACCCAAGGGCTTGGTATAGAAGGAGGGGGGACCCCATGCCATTTTTTTTTTTTATGGTGCGGTTTTTAAATGCAAACACTGCTTTTTTTTTTCCTTCACTATAGCTCAGAAATTCAGTTGTCACTTTCCCCTCCCAGCTAAAAGACAGAAAGTTTTCTTTTAGTTTATTTCCCCAAGTTAAAAGAAACAAAGTTTCCTGTAACTCAGGGAAAAGTGACATCTAATCGAGTGAAGAAAAAAACAAAGACGGAAATTGCTTTTAAAAATTGGCACCGACATACACTTCATATTGCGAAACAAATTAGTAAAATACTTGTAAACTGAAGCATTATTTTCAATGGATTTTCATTCGTAAACCGAAAATTACGTTAACTGAGGCGTTTGTAAACTGGAGGTATTACTGTATAAGGTATATAATGATACAATGTATATAATAGAAGGTATATAATATATAAGGTATGATACAATGTATAATAGAAGGTAAGGATACAATGTATAATAGAAGGTACGGAAGGATACAATGTATAATAGAAGGTACGGAAGGATACAATGTATAATAGAAGGTAAGGATACAATGTATAATAGAAGGTAAGGATACAATGTATAATAGAAGGTAAGGATACAATGTAATAGAAGGTACGGAAGATACAATGTATAATAGAAGGTAAGGATACAATGTATAATAGAAGGTAAGGATACAATTGTATAATAGAAAGGTAAGGATACAATGTATAATAGAAGGTAAGGATACAATGTATAATAGAAGGGTAAGGATACAATGTATAATAGAAGGTAAGGTACGGAAGGATACAATGTATAATAGGATAAGGTAAGAATACAATGTATAATGGAAGGTACGGAAGGATACAAGGAGGTACGGAAGGATACAATGTATAATAGAAGGTACGGAAGGATACAATGTATAATAGAAGGTAAGGATAGAATGTAATGGAATAGAAGGTATAAATAATACAATGTATATAAGGAATGATACAATGTATAATAGAAGGTACGGAAGGATACAATGTATAATAGAAGGTAAAGATACAATGTATAATAGAAGGTACGGAAGGATACAATGTATATGGAAGGTACGGAAGGGTATAAGAATACAATGTATAATAGATAGGTAAGGATACAATGTATAATGGAAGGTAAGGAAGGATACAATGTATAATAGATAGGTAAAGAATACAATGTATAATAGAAGGTAAGGATACAATGTATAAGGTAGAAGGTAAGAATACAATGTATAATAGAAGATACGGAAGGATACAATGTATAATAGAAGGTAAGGATACAATGTATAATAGAAGGTAAGGATACAATGTATAATAGAAGGTATATAATGTATATAAAGGTAGGATACAATGTATATAATGGAAGGTACGGAAGGATACAATGTATAATAGAAGGTAAAGGATACAATGTATAATGGAAGGTATACAATGTATAATGGAATAGGATGGTATAATGGAAGGTACTGGAAGGATACAATGTATAATGGAAGGTACGGAAGGATACAATGTATAATAGAAGGTACGGAAGGATACAATGTATAATAGAAGGTACGGAAGGATTACAATGTATAATGGAAGGTACGGAAGGATACAATGTATAATAGAAGGTACGGAAGGATACAATGTATAATGGAAGGTACGGAAGGATACAATGTATAATGGAAGGTACGGAAGGATACAATGTATAATGGAAGGTACGGAAGGATACAATGTATAATAGAAGGTACGGAAGGATACAATGTATAATGGAAGGTACGGAAGGATACAATGTATAATAGAAGGTACGGAAGGGATACAATAAGGATACAATGTATAATGGAAGGTACGGAAGGATACAATGTATAATGGAAGGTGGAAGGTACGGTAAGGATACAATGTATAATAGAAGGTACGGAAGGATACAATGTATCTCTCCATTCAGAGAGCGAAAACAAGGGGGGGCGGGCTTCACAGTGACCAATCACTGTGACAGCCAATCAGAGGCTATCACAGCGATCAAGTGACCCAGAATTGAGAGTTCCGTGTCCCGATTGGTAGAACAGGACCCAGGGCTCTCAGTGACACCCCGGTCTCTGTGCTGGGAGCACGTCGTGCTGCGCACTCCCAGCAGAAAGCCAGGAATGCAAATTAGTGTCCCCATAGAAGAAAGCCCAGTCCTGTGAGGTCACTGATTTGCGTGCGGTCGGCATCAAGGGGTAAATTTGAGCTACAAAAACCGCCCCAGAACTTGTTGGAGGTTCAGGTGTCTCGGGAGTAGAGATGTGATCTCGCTCCACTGAGAATAATTGATTTTTGCTCCTCAGGCGTTTTGGCGCTTCCAGCTACAAATTCGCTCTGGTGTGAATGGGGCCTTTAGGCACACAGTTAACCCTTTGATCGCCCCTGGATGTTAACCCCTTCCTGCCCAGTGTCATTAGTACAGCGGCAGTGTATATTCGTACCCTGATCACTGTAGAAGTGTCACTGGGGATGTCAGTTCCCACAAAGTGCCAGATTGCCCGCCGCACTATTGCAGTCCAACAAGACGCTGATCACCGCCATTAACTTTATAACTCTCTATAACTTTCACGCAAACCCAGGGAGGGTGGATGGGCGTTGGGTTTAACCCCAAAAATGCTGGCCCACCATGCCACGGCATGCGGTTGCTGCGCAGCCCCGTTCACTTAAAATGGGTAGCGTTTGCCGCCAGCCCCCCCCTTTCCCAGAATGAAACGGGGGGGGGGGTTACTTTTTTTTTCTGAATGGACGTTGTGATCTGTGGCCCCCGCGGACGATGTGTGGTCACCATGTGCTCCCCTCCCCCATTCATTGATGGTGACCCCCCTGCCCCCCAGGAATTATTTATTAAATACAATGTATTGAAGTATTGGCGGGCATGCTGGGAGTTGTAGTGCCCCCCTGTCTCAGGAGGCCAATATTGGCCCCTGTGGGGCCCCAGCTGGTGGTGAGTGCAGAGGGCAGCAGGTTGGAGGTCACACTGTGGAGGGAGTTCAGTGGTCAGTCCGGTCCGGTGTGTATTTCTGAGCTCTCCCTCCCCTCTTCTCCCACCATCTTCCCCCTCACCGCCCACCTACCGGCTCCATCACTCACCTGGAACTCCGTGAAATCCTCACAGCTCACCTGCTCACTGGGCGCCGCCATATTGGGAAAGCCAGAGGAGGACCTCGCCGTCTCTGACCTCCGCCTGAAGGTGTCCGCGGCAGTGCCTGAGCCGGGTTATCTCCGTCCGGACACAGAGGGCGCTGCTGCCATCATCACACCTCACAATCGTGACTTCCTGTCACAGAGATCCGGGTTAAGTCTGGCCGGAGAACTCATTCAAAGCCACACCGGGAAGGTCCATTCCCGGCGTCTATCGGGTTTTACTCAAAAACGTCCCCAGAAATGTGCGTGGAAGCGGCCATTTTGTCGGCGTCTCCTTGTAGGCCTAAACGGTGGTATCGACAACATCATGGAAGCCTTAGTGGAGACAGTTTACTCCGCTGCGTGAGGGGTGCCAGGCTGGATTCCTATTGGTGGAATCGGTGCAGCTTTTCAATTACTCGTCTCGCTGATTGGCGAAGACAAACCTCGTGATGCAGCTTTATTTGTTGATAGGACATGTGCCTCTCCAGCCCATTGGCTACTCTGTTTGAGGCGGGGCTTGCGCGGAGATATCGTCTCATTGGCTGGCAGCGTTGTTTTGAGCTCTCTTCAGTCTGCGGGTTGTTGTCGGGGGTGTGACTGCTGTTGGAAGATGCTGCGAGCAGCGCTAGGGAGGAGCGGCCTGCGCCTGTTGGCTGGTGAGCGGCGGAGCCGAGGGCTACATGGAGGGCCACACAGTGCAGTGACGGCATCTGACCACTGGGGGGGTCGGTGACCCATTGCCACATATTGCAATGATAACATGTGACCACTAGGGGGCGCTGCGACCAATTGCCACACAGTACAATGACAACCTGTGACGGGATTGGGGGGTTGCACAGTGACAACCTGTGACCACTAGATGGTGCGTTGCGATCCATTGCCACAGTGCAATGACAACCTGTGACCACTAGAGGGCGCTGCGATCCATTGCCACAGTGCAGTGCAGTGACAACCTGTGACCACTAGGGGGCGCAGCGATCCATTGCCACACAGTGCAATGACAACCTGTGACCACTAGAGGGCGCTGCGATCCATTGCCACACAGTGGTGCACAATGACAACCTGTGACCACTAGAGGGCGCTGCGATCCATTGCCACACAGTGCAATGACAACCTGTGACCACTAGAGGGCGCTGTGAACCATTGCCACACAGTGCAATGACAACCTGTGACCACTAGAGGGCGCTGCGATCCATTGCCACACAGTGCAATGACAACCTGTGACCACTAGAGGGCGCTGCGATCCATTGCCCACAGTGCATGACAGCCTGTGACCACTAGAGGGCGCTGGGGCCACACAGTGGGACAACCTGTGACCACTAGAGGGCGCTTGATCCATTGCCACACACTGCAGTGACAACCTGTGACCCACTGTGGGGGGGGGGGAGTTGACCCATTGCCACACTTGGGGCAATGACAACCTTTGACCACTAGAGGAGGCGTTACCACTTGCTGTGACCCATTGCCAACATGGTGCAACCTGTGACAACCTGGGCTCACTGGAGGGGCAGTGACAATCTGTGACCACTGGGGGTTTGTTACCAGTTGCCACACATTGCAATGATAACCTGGGCCTACTGGGGGGGACGCTGGGCCCTTACACACAGTACAATAACAGCCTGTGACCACAGGGGCTGTGACAGTCCACACAGTGTAGTGACAGCCTGTGACCACTAGGGGGCTGTGACCTATTGCCACATGGGCAATTACAACCTGTGACCACTGGGGAGGGGGGCGGTGACCTGTTACCACCTGGGGCAATGACAACCTTTGCCAACTACGGGGCTGTAACCCATTGCAACGTGGTGCAATGACAACCCGTGACCACTGGGGGGAGGGGTTGTGACACATTGCAATGATAATCTGGGACCTACTGGGGGGGGCACTGTGACCCATTGCCACACAGAGCACTGACACCCTGTGACCACCGGAGGTGCTGTGACCTATTGCCACACAGTTCAAGGATGTTTGCCATTGCAATAACCTGGGCCTACTGGGGGGTGCTGTGACACACAGTGGAATGACAGTCTGTGACCATAAGGGGGGGGTAACCCATTGGGCTGTGACCCAATGCCACACAGTGCAATAACAGCCTGTTACCACTGGGGGGGGGGGCTGTGACCCATTGCCACATGGGGCAATGACAACCTGTGACCACTGTGGGGGGGGTGCGCTGTGACCCATTGTCACACATTGCAATGATAACCTGTGACCACTGGGTGGGGCGTGTGACAACCTTTGTCCACTAAGGGGGGGGGGGCTGTAACCCATTGACAGTGCAATGACAGCCTGTGACCACTGGGGGGGCTGTGACCCAGTGCCACACAATGCAATGATAACCTGCGACCACTTGAGGAGCTTTGGCCCATTGACACACAGTGCAGCGCAAAAACCTGTGACCACTGGGGGGAGCTGTGACCCATTGCCACATGGTGCAATGACAACCTTTGACCACTGGGGGGTGCTGTGACCATTGCCACAGTACAGTGACAACCCATGACCACTGGGGGTGCTGTGACCCATTGCACACAGTGCAGTGACATCCATGACCACTGGGGGTGCTGTGACCTAGTGGTCACAGGTCGTCGTCCTGTAAAATGTGGCAATTGGTCACAGCGCCCCCCACTGGTCACAGGTTGTCACTGTACTGTGTGGCAGTGATAAGAGGTGTGTTAGTGTGTTTGTATGTAGTATGTGTTGCATTGAAGCTTGTATTGGATGTACCGATGAAGGGGGAGGGGCTTATTTTCTCGTTACATTCTTAAATTCTGCTTCCTGCACAGTGATTGGGCTTTACTCTTCCCTTATTTTACTAAGAAAGGTGAGTAGCTAGCAGCGCTCGGTGATCCCCCTGATTTTTTTTTTTTTTTTCTTTTCTTTTGGCCATCAACTCACCAGTATGGGAACCTTCCCATCTATCAGCGTGCAGCAACCGCCCTGAAGAAGGGGGAGTCCCTGTCCCCCGAAACGCGTTGTCTGGATCTACTTGTTGCTATGTTCAATAAACGCCTTTGAACACAGCCTACATCTTATTGGACCCCGGGCGCTGCTTTCTACTCACCTTACCGAGTCAACCCAAAGGCCGAGTCCCAAGAAGCAGCCCAAGCCCTAAGTGGGCTCTCCACCACCACCCTTCCACTGAAAGGGATTTCCTCTGACTCGCCCACGTGATCTCCCACTTCCAACCAGGGACTGGTCAAGCCAGTCCAGCGTGGGCTCCAACCCTAACAAGTTCCCTTCTTTTACTGGGGAAGCCGGCCAGTCTGATCGACAATCGCAGCCCCACCCTTATATCGTGAGCAGTGATGTACAGACGGACACCAGAGGGGGGCGCTATATGTGCAATATGGTACAGCAAGCATGTAGGACGGGTGGAGAGTCTTCAGGCTGTCAGTATGATAATATCCATCGTTGTTCTACTCTGGCCTTGTGTTCTGATCTTCTCATGTTGTTGCAGAGAGGTCGTTGGTGGGGAGAGGAGAGCTGGGCGTTGTGGTGACCGGGAGACACCTCTGCAGTAAACCTGAGGATGGAGGTGAGTCCCCTCCGGCGTGAATGTGGGGAGTCCCCTCCGGCATGAGGGTGACGAGGCCTTTCCTGCATGAATGGGGAGCAATGTATCCATGTATCTTCTTCCTCTGAGCTTTTGTTACATTGTATCATTGCTGGAATCAGTATTCCCCTCCTCTCTCCCTATTGGCTGGCCCACATGTCACTCACCTATCCAAGTACTGATCAGTGTCCCCTCTGATACGTTACAGAACATTATCAATAGAATGTAACCAGAGATAATCTTCCCCTTTTCCTCACACACCATTGGCTGGTCTCGGTGTCATTTACATATCCCAGTACAAATTGCTTTCCCCTCCCCCTTCCTTCCCCTGGGCTTTAGTTACATTGTATCATTGTTATTCTGTCATTACCAGCGGGAAACCTGAGAAAAGAGCGCCCCCTTCTTCCTTACACGGTATTGGCTGATCTCTGATCACCTCGGTGATAGATTCCTGGCTGCTCCTTTTTTTTGTTTACATGTGAAAAAGAAGCTCATTAGATGAAACGTGTCAGATAGAAAGATGGAATCTTCCATTGTTGATTTAAAGAAGAACATCTGAGATTAAAAAAAAAAAAAAAAAAACACGAACGCTGTGGGGGGGGGGGGGGGGAATCGCCCATTAGTACACCCCCCCCCCCCCCCCTACACAAAACACCAGACAGTTAAAGCGGGACTACAGTATCTCAGTATCTCCCAGAAGTTAGAATTTGATTCTCTCTTTTCATGTGACAACACTGAAGAAATGACACTTTGCTACAATGTGACGTAGTCAGTGTACAGCTTGTATAACATGGAAATTTGCTGTCCCCTCAAAATAACTCAACACACCGCCATTAATGTCTAAACCGCTGGCAACAAAAGTGACTCCACCCCTAAGTGACAAGGTCCAAATTGGGCCCAAAGTGACAATATTTTGTGTGGCCGCCATTATTTTCCAGCACTGCCTTAACCCTCTTGGGCATGGAGGTCACCAGAGCTTCACAGGTTGCCACTGGAGTCCTCTTCCCCTCCTCCATGACGACATCACGGAGCTGGTGGATGTTGGAGACCTTGCGCTCCTCCACCTTCCATTTGAAGATGCCCCACAGATGCTCAATAGGGTTTAGGTCTGGAGACATGCTTGGCCAGTCCATCACCTTTACCCTCAACTTCTTTAGCAAGGCAGTGGTGGTCTTGGAGGTGTGTTTGGGGTCGTTATGTTGGAATTCTGCCCTGCGGCCCAGTCTCCGAAGGGAGGTGATCACGCTCTGCTTCAGTATGTCACGTTACATGTTGGCATTCATGGTCCCCTCAATGAACTGTAGCCCCCCAGTGCCGGCAGCACTTATGCAGTCCCAGACCATGACACTCCCCACCACCATGCTTGACTGTAGGCAAGACACACTTGTCTTTGTACTCCTCACCTGGTTGCCGCCACACACGCCTGACACCATCTGAACCCAATCAGTTGATGTTGGTGTCATCAGACCACAGGACATGGTTCCAGTAATCCATGTCCTTAGTCTGCTTGTCTTCAGCAAACTGTTTGCGGCTTTCTTGGTCATCATCTTTAGAAGAGGCTTCCTTCCGGGACGACAGCCGTGCAGACCAATGTGATGCAGTGTGCGGCGTACGGTCTGAGCACTGACAGGCCGACCCCCCCCCCCCCCCCCCCACCCCTTCACCCTCTGCAGCAATGCTGGCAGCACTCATACGTCTTTTTCCCAAAGACAACCTCTGGATATGATGCTGAGCACGTGCACTCAACTGCTTTGGTGGACCATGGTGAGGCCTGTTCTGAGTGGAACCTGTCCTGTTAAACCGCTGTATGGTCTTGGCCACCGGGCTGCAGATCAGTTTCAGGGTCTGGCCAATCATCTTATAGCCTCGGCCATCTTTATGTAGAGCAACAATTCTTTTTTTTTTTTTTTTTTTTTTTTTCAGATCCTCAGAGTTCTTTGCCATGAGGTGCCATGTTGAACTTCCAGTGACCAGTATGAGAGAGTGAGAGCGATAACCCCAAATGTAACCCACCCGTTCCCCATTCACACCTGAGACCTTGTAACACCAACGAGTCACATGACACCAGGGAGGGAAATGGCTAATTGGGCCCAATGTGGACCTTGTCACTTAGGGGTGGAGTCACTTTTGTGTAGACAATGGCGGTGTGTTGAGGTATTTTGAGGGGACAGCAAATTTCCATGTTATACAAGCTGTACACTGACTACGTCACATTGTAGCAAAGTGTCATTTCTTCAGTGTTGTCACATGAAAAGAGAGAATCAAATATTGACACAAATGTGAGGGGGGGACTCGCTTCTGGGAGATACTGTATGCTGTCTTCTGATCCCACGATGGGCTGTCCCAAAGCTCCCCACCCGGAGGCTGACATATTCGGGCAGCTGGCTTCTAGGGCCCAAACGCTGGCGCATGTGTGGAAGTTCCATCCGATTCGGCATTGCCGAATTTGTACGGTGAACCACGCAGGCGCAAGGTCCACAGGCGGGTAGGTGAGAGATAATGCAGAGCTCATCTCTCCTGCATTAAAATTCCTGCCTGTACCCCCATTTTTATTTATTTCCTGAAGTTCCACTTTAATAACATTTTGAAGATCCTTCCCATTGACAAGAAAAATTTGCTTGAATTTTCATGAGCTCCTCAAAAGAGAACAGCATCTGCTCTTTGAAGGGGGAGGTGCAAAAGCCAGGATTACATCATATCCTCTCCTCTCTCTGCAGTAAAAGGAAACTACAGTTCCCATCAAGTACAGGGAATTGTGGTGAATGTGGGCGGGTACACTAGGCCTGTACTTAGTGAATGTGTCTGAGAGTCTCGGTCCGCCCACCACAGCAAGTGGGGCTGAAAGACATCACTGCTCCCTGGAGAAAGAACTACAGGAGGGATGTGCCAAGACCGGTGGCTGGGGAGAATAGGAGGCAGAGCAGCCATCGATCTTACAACCAAAGAGAAATAACGGTTTGATTTGAAAATTAATCGTCTGTTTTAGAGCAACTACTGAGTGACCGAGAAGATGGAGGACCTATTCAGTGACGGTAGGAAATCCTCAACTAGCACATGCAAAGATGTTTTTGCCCGGAGTTCTGCTTTAATTTCAGAGTTGCTGGTTTTAGGACTGCTACCCTTACCTTTTCCTTCACTACTTGGTGCTCTAGAACAAGCATGTGCATATCTGCTGTTCCTGACCTTTCACTGGCTGCATGCTCATTCCCAGTTAATGAATCACAAAGCAGTAAAGGATTATTATTATACAGGATTTATATGGCGCCAACAGTTTGCTCAGCGCTTTACAATATAAAGGGCAGCAATACAGTTCAATACAAGGGGGTTAGGAGGGCCCATGGAGCAGTGTGAACGCTAGTCATTAGTGACAACGCCCACACTTCTGACTTGACAGGTTCCAAAATGTCCTGCCGTCTGTGGGAGTAAACAATACCCCATCATTGGTATTAGGGGGAGGAATAGAGCCCCATCTTTAGTTTCAAAAGGAGAAATAGTGCCCTATCAATGGGAGAAATGGTGCCGCATCATTGGTGTCAATGGGAGGAATGGTGCCCCGTCATTGGTGTCAATGGGAGGAATGGTGCCCCGTCATTGGTGTCAATGGGAGGAATGGTGCCCCGTCATTGGTGTCAATGGGAGGAATGGTGCCCCGTCATTGGTGTCAATGGGAGGAATGGTGCCCCGTCATTGGTGTCAGTGGGAGGAATGGTGCCCCGTCATTGGTGTCAGTGGGAGGAATGGTGCCCCGTCATTGGTGTCAGTGGGAGGAATGGTGCCCCGTCATTGGTGTCAGTGGGAGGAATGGTGCCCCGTCATTGGTGTCAGTGGGAGGAATGGTGCCCCGTCATTGGTGTCAGTGGGAGGAATGGTGCCCCGTCATTGGTGTCAGTGGGAGGAATGGTGCCCCGTCATTGGTGTCAGTGGGAGGAATGGTGCCCCGTCATTGGTGTCAGTGGGAGGAATGGTGCCCCGTCCTTGGTGTCAGTGGGAGGAATGGTGCCCCGTCATTGGTATCAGTGAGAACACCAGTCAGTAGTGACGACGCCCACACGTGTAACTTGCCAGGTTCCCTCTAACATAGGGGTCTCCAAACTTTCTAAACAAAGGGCCAGTTTACTGTCCTTCAAATTTTAGGGGGGCCAGACTGTGGCCAGTGGGAGAAGAAAATGTCCTGGCTATCAGTGGGAGTAAACCATGCCCCAACATTGGTATTGGGGGGGAGGAATAGTGTCCCATCATTGGTATCAATGGGAGAAATAGTGCCCCATTGTTGGTGTCAATGGGAGAAATAGTACCCCATCGTTGGTGTCAATAGGAGGAAATCGTGCCCCATCGTTGGTATCAATGAGAGGAATAGCGCCCCATTGTTGCTGTCAATGGGAGAAATGGTGCCCCGTCGTTGGTGTCAATGGGAGAAATGGTGCCCCGTCGTTGGTGTCAATGGGAGAAATGGTGCCCCGTCGTTGGTGTCAATGGGAGAAATGGTGCCCCGTCGTTGGTGTCAATGGGAGAAATGGTGCCCCGTCGTTGGTGTCAATGGGAGAAATGGTGCCCCGTCGTTGGTGTCAATGGGAGAAATGGTGCCCTGTCGTTGGTATCAATGGGAGAAAATAGTGCTCAACCATTGTTGTCAATGGGAGGAATAGTGCCCCATTGTCAGTCAGTGGGAGAAATTATGCCTCAAGGGCTGGATAAAAGCAAGCAAAGGGCCGTATCTGGCCCCTGGGCCACAGTTTGGAGAGTACTGCTCTAACAGGATCAGTTTAGCTGCTTTTTACATTTGTTTGATTCTGGAAATCTTAATATCGAAGTGTCAAAAAAATGGCAAAATGTAACAACAATGAACAGAAAAAGGATACTCGCTCCAGGGAAGTTCTTTCAGCTTCACTCTGGAGGGTGATGGACCTTATCATTGAAAAATCCAGCTTTTCAGATCAGAGAATTATCTAGAGAATAGAGTTTGACTATGAAATCTCTGTATGAGTAGACAAGGATCAATGCATCTCTTTAATAACCATGAACATGACTATTGATTGTCATCCGGTCATGGCCAAAAATCTTGTCTCCCCCCCCGCATTTCTGTCAGATAACACACCACTTCACCGAGAAAATTGTTGCAATTACCAATATTTCGGCATTGCCATGTTTCCTTCTTTTGTTTGTATCGGTATGCACAAAACGTGGAGAAACAAAAAGCCAAATCTGACACATTCCACTCAAAACCCCCAAGATAGACTGGACAAAATTATTGGCTCCACCTTCCTGTTGTCTGTGTGCCGCATGGAGAAGAGGAAGAGCAGCAAAGAATTGTCTGAGGATTGGAGAACAAATGGTGGAAAAGCATGGACAGTCTCAAGATTACAAGTCCATCTCCAGAGATCTTAATGTTCCTGTGTCCATTGTGCTCAACATTGTCTAGAAGTTTACAGCCGATGGTACTGTAGCTAATCTCCCTGGATGTGGATGAAAGAGAAAAATTGATCAAAGATTGAAACAAAGGATTGTTGGAATGGTGGCTAAAGAATCTCCATCAACTTCCAGACAAATCCAAGCGGACCTTCAGGCACCGGGTACAACTGTGTCCGCTCACACTATACGTTGTCATCTGAATGAAAAGGGACACTATGGTAGGAGATCCAGGAGGACCCCACTGCTGACACAGAAATATGGTAAGAGACCCAGGAGGACCCCACTGCTGACACAGAAATATGGGAGGAGACCCAGGAGGACCCCACTGCTGACACAGAAATATGGTAGGAGACCCAGGAGGACCCCACTGCTGACACAGAAATATGGTGGGAGACCCAGGAGGACCCCACTGCTGACACAGAAATATGGTAAGAGACCCAGGAGGACCTCACTGCTGACACAGAAATATAGTAGAGACCCAGGAGACCCAGGAGGACCCCACTGCTGACACAGAAACATAAAAAGCTAGATTGGAGTTTGCCAAAACTGACCTGAGGAAGCCAAAAATCCTTTTGGGAGAATGTGCTGTGGGCAAATGATACAAAATTCCAGCTTTTTGGTAAAGCCCATCATTCTACTGTTTTCATAAAAAGCAATGAGGCCTTTACAGAAAAGAATCCAGTCCCTCCAGTCACACATGGTGGGGGGGCCACTGATGTTTTGGGGTTGCTTTGCTGCTTCAGGCACTAGATGTCTTGACCGTGTGTATGGCATTATGAAATCTGAAGACTACCAAAGAATTCTGGGGTGCAATGTAGGGCCCGGTGTCAGAAAGTTGGGTCTCCATCAGAGGTCATGGGTCTTCCAGCAGGACAATGACCCAAAGAACACATCAAAAAGCCCCCCAGAAATGGATTCAAACAAAGTGCTGGAGAGGACTGAACTGGCCAGCAATGAGTCCAGATCTCCATCCCATAGAGCAGGGGTCTCCAAACTGCTGCCGGAGGGCCGGATGTGGGCCTTTGCTAGCCGTTATCCGGCCCCTTGGGGCACTATTCCTCCCAAAGATATGACGCAGTATTTCTCCCACTGACACCAATGGGGCACTATTGATAACACTTATGTGGTACTATTCCTCCCATTAATATCTATGATGGGGCACTACTCTTCCTCCTGCTGACCACCAACCCTGAGGCCATATTTATTCTCACTGATGCTGGGCCCGAAATATATTTTCTACCCCCACTGGCCACACCTCACTCTGGCCCTCTTAAAGTCTGAAGCAACATAACCCGGCCCTTTGTTTGAAAAGTTTGGAGACCCCCCCCCCCCTGCGGAGAGATCTCAGAACAGCAGTTGGGAAAAGGAACCCTTCCAATCGGAGAGACCTGGAGCAGTTGGTGGAAGAAGAGCGACCCAAAATTCCAGTAGAGAGGTGGAAGAAACTCATTGATGGTGACAGGAAGCCATTGATTTCACTTATTTATTTTTTTTTCGAAGGGGTGGGCCACCAAATATTACATGGAGAGTGCCAATTTTGTCCAGTCCATTTTTGGGGTTTTGAATGGGAAGTGTCAGGTTTGGCTTTTTGTTTCTCCACTTTTTTTGTGTCGGACCAATACAAACCAAAGATATAAACCTGAGAATGCCGAAACATTTGTAAAACAGTGGGTGGGTGAAGTGGTGCGTTATCTGACAGAAATGTAGGGGTGCCAATATTTTTGGCCATGATTGTATGACTATATAAGATGTCTAAATGAGAGACTCCAACAGCACACATGAGGTGATCACCCTCCCCACCTCCCTCTTCCTCCAGGTCACTCCTTCAAGGTCCCTGCCCACAAGCCCACCAATTTTGAGAAGAGGATCCTGGTGTGGGGAGGTCGATTCAAAAAGGAGTCTGATATTCCAGAATACGTCTCGTGAGTATCTGAGATGACTTCCATCTCCATTGTTTGTGGTGGTCCTCCAACCCAACCATGCACAGTTTTTTTTGGTATCTACAGTGCTTGCGCCCTCTAAGTCACATCAAGTTTATTGTCCTTGCCTTTCTGGAGGGGGAGGGGCAAGGTTTACAGGCTGCCCATTTTAGGCCTGAAAATTACTTCAAACGCCCAAAACGTTATATAATTTCTGAAAGCAGGTAGGTACAAAAGGTAAGGTTGGGTCAAGTAAGTAGATACCAAATATGTCAAGCCTTGAAATTACCCACACCCATGAAATGGTGAAAAACTTTGATGTTGGATGAAAAGACCCTTTAGCCACTTGCTGACCCCCCCCCCCCCCCCTCCCCCCCGCAGTACATCTACTGTGACAGGTCAACTCGTACAGGCACAATCATGTACCTGTACATCGCAGCTTTCTTCAATGATTACGGCTGGGACCCGCTGATCGACTGGACAAATGACAGGAGAGAGCTCTGTGTTGGTAAACAGCAGAGGGCTCTCTTCATACAGAAGTGATGTGTCGGTTTATGCAAAAACCAGCATATTGCTTAGAGAAATGCCACACAGTACACATTGTTGGGCGCCTATTTAACCCCTTAATCACCCTAGATGTTAACCTCTTCCCAGCCAGTGTCATGAATAGTGTATAGTATCATCAGTACTGATCACTATTAGTGTCTGTCAGATTGCCCACTGCACTATCACAGTCCCGTTGTAAGTCGCTGACACTGATCACCGCCATTACTAGTATTAAAAAAAGGCGTGTGTGTGTGCGTGTGTGTGTGCGTGTGCGTGTGTGTGTATATATGTATCATAGTTTGTAGACACTATAATTTTTCATGCAAACCGATCAATATACACATATAGTGTGTGTGTGTTTTTTGTTTTTTTGTTTTGCTTTTTTATACCAAAGACATGTAGCAGAGTACATCTTGGCCATAATTTTAATAAAGAATTTTTGTGTATTATTGGTTATGTTTCATAGCAGATAGTAAAAATACATAAAAAAAAAAAAGATTTATTATGTATTTTTACTATCTGCTATGTAACATAACCAATAATACCCAAAAAAATTATTTATTAAAATTATGGCCAAGATGTACTCTGCTACATGTCTTTGGTATAAAAAAGCAAAACAAAAAAAAAACAAAAAAAAACCAAAAATGATTCAAAAAAGAAAAAAAAAAAAAAGATTCTTTTTTTTTTTTCTTTCTATTTATATCACAAAACCATTAAAGTACCACCAAAAGAAAGCTCCTATATGTGTGGCAAAAAATTCTATAACTTTAAGTTTGTGTGCAACATTGCATGTCTGAGCCAGTGAAAGTAGTGAAGTGCTGCACTGCAAAAAATGGCCTGGCCATGACGGGGGGGTAAAATCTTCGGGACCTCAAGTGGTTAAGTGACACCAACTTTCCAGAACCACTAAAATGATGTCTGATGTGTAGTGCGGATTTAGGTGTAGATCTGCCCACGCTGATGAAAAATAAAATATAATGTCTTTCCCAGGTATGAGATGATAGACGCAGCGAAGAGCAGAGCCCGGGTGAAGTTATCCATGATCATGATACTTCTCACCATCATGGGCTGTATTGGAATGGTCATTTCTGGAAAACGGGTGAGTGCCAGATGGTGTATTACTTTATACAGGGATATAGCTCTGACCTATACCGCAGCATTGTACAGAGGACACTGAGCCAGTCACATCAGTCTCTGTACAGAGGAGCTTACACTCTAATGACCCCCCCCCCCCACAGTCACATCAGTCTCTGTACAGAGGAGCTTACACTCTAATGCCCCCCCCCCCCCACAGTCATATCAGTCTCTGTACCAGAGGAGCTTACATTCTAATGTCCCCTCCCCCACAGTCCCATCAGTCTCTGTACCAGAGGAGCTTACACTCTAATGTCCCCTCCCACAGTCACATCAGTCTCTGTACCAGAGGAGCTTACACTCTAATGCCCCCCCCCCCCCCCCCCACAGTCACATCAGTCTCTGTACCAGAGGAGCTTACACTCTAATGCCCCCCCCCCCCCTCCCCCACAGTCACATCAGTCTCTGTACAGAGGAGCTTACACTCTAATGCCCCCCCCCCCCCCCCACAGTCCCATCAGTCTCTGTACCAGAGGAGCTTACACTCTAATGTCCCCTCCCCCACAGTCCCATCAGTCTCTGTACCAGAGGAGCTTACACTCTAATGTCCCCCCCACAGTCACATCATTATTATCATACATTTATATAGCTGCGTCTAATGCTTTGGCTGAGCAGAGGGCATCTCGGACCACTGCAGAGAGACCACTGCTTCCACACAGAGAGCAAGGATCTTTCTCTGCAGCCTGCTGGCAGAGGACAGGCATTTCTACTCTACATGCTGTGGCTGCTTTCTAAGGAAACATTCGATAGGACTTTGCGCACCGTATGTCTCGATGCTCCCGGAACGTACTACACTGACGCTCAGTTGGACTTCTGCATTCACAATGGCAGCATTGAGCTGTTCCCCGGCCGTACACAAGCCGCTCCCTGTAGTCTCACACTCTGGAGGTTGGGCTCGGCTCCAGATCACCCCCTTACCCTCCACTCCCAGCATATTCCCAGAGACCTCGAATGGAACCGTCACCCCGCAATAAGTCACTCCAGACTTCTGCCTACCAAGGGATTGCCTATAAGGTGATCCTACACATCTGTGGGAGGAACACGCTGACCTCCATCTCAATAAAATGTAAAGCTGAACTCCAGGGTAAGAAAATAGCAATAAAGTTGATAAAAAAAAAAAAAAAGTTTTAAATAAATGCATTTTGGTTTTATATTAGTGATCTAAGCTGATTATATGTAATGCCTGACATTACCTCCATGCATTTGCTGATTTCACACCTCTCCCTCTATATTTTCTTTATTTTGATTTCATATGCGATTTTTTTTTTTATATGTTGGTTTCTATTGGTGTGTTTTTTGCTACTCCCCCCCCCCCCCCCCCCCCCCCCCTTTTTTTTTTTTTTTTTTTTTTTTTTTTTTTTGGTCTATTATGTGTTTAGGCACAGATTGGCTGCAGCTGGATATGTAAATTGATGGAGTATTTTAAAATGTTACTAAACCCAGGACCCCGCCACTCACTATATCCGCTCTCCCCCGGACCCCGCACTCGCTGTATCCGCGCTCTCCCGGACCCCGCACTCGCTGTATCCGCGCTCTTCTCCCCGGACCCCGCACTCGCTGTATCCGCGCTCTCCCGGACCCCGCACTCGCTGTATCCGCGCTCTCCCCGGACCCCGCACTCGCTGTATCCGCGCTCTCCCCGGACCCCGCACTCGCTGTATCCGCGCTCTCCCGGACCCCGCACTCGCTGTATCCGCGCTCTCCCCGGACCCCGCACTCGCTGTATCCGCGCTCTCCCCGGACCCCGCACTCGCTGTATCCGCGCTCTCCCGGACCCCGCACTCGCTGTATCCGCGCTCTCCCCGGACCCCGCACTCGCTGTATCCGCGCTCTCCCCGGACCCCGCACTCGCTGTATCCGCGCTCTCCCCGGACCCCGCACTCGCTGTATCCGCGCTCTCCCCGGACCCCGCACTCGCTGTATCCGCGCTCTCCCCGGACCCCGCACTCGCTGTATCCGCGCTCTCCCCGGACCCCGCACTCGCTGTATCGCGCTCTCCCCGGACCCCGCACTCGCTGTATCCGCGCTCTCCCCGGACCCCGCACTCGCTGTATCCGCGCTCTCCCCGGACCCCGCACTCGCTGTATCCGCGCTCTCCCCCGGACCCCGCACTCGCTGTATCCGCGCTCTCCCGGACCCCGCACTCGCTGTATCCCGCTCTCCCCGGACCCCGCACTCGCTGTATCCGCGCTCTCCCCGGACCCCGGACCCCGCACTCGCTGTATCCGCGCTCTCCCGGACCCGCACTCGCTGTATCCGCGCTCTCCCCCGGACCCCGCACTCGCTGTATCCGCGCTCTCCCCGGACCCGCACTCGCTGTATCGCGCTCTCCCGGGACCCCGCACTCGCTGTATCCGCGCTCTCCCCGGACCCCGCACTCGCTGTATCCGCGCTCTCCCCGGACCCCGCACTCGCTGTATCCGCGCTCTCCCCGGACCCCGCACTCGCTGTATCCGCGCTCTCCACCCCGGACCCCGCACTCGCTGTATCCGCGCTCTCCCCGGACCCCGCACTCGCTGTATCCGCTCTCCCACAGTACATACAACAGGGAAATGCAATTAGTTTCGTAAATATAAACTGCTAAATCCCTTTTCTCATGAGCAGTATAGAGCGGTCTTGTGACTCAGTGTCCAGCAGAGCACTGGTTAAAGCTTGTAGGAGGAGTTTTAATTATGCCCCCTGATTGTCCCGTGAGGCTGCATGACCCCTTTCCTTCTGTCTGGACAGTGCTGATTTGCCCAGTGCTGATCACCCCCCCCCCCCCCCCCCCCCTCCAAAGGGCACTGATCAGTGCAGCCTTATCAGTGCCCATTAGTACCACCTATCAGTGCTCATCAATGCAACCACGTCAGTAAAGAAGAAAAATTACTTATTTGGAAAATTTTACAACAGAAACCAAGAAAAAAAGTAAAAAAAATTTTTTTTTTCCTTGTTTGGCAAAAAATAAGCCCCCCCCCCCCCCCCCCTGTGGTGAATAAATACCGCCAAAAGAAAGCTCTATCTGTCTGAATGGAAAAACAGATTAAAATTTCATTTGGGCACAGTGTTGCATGACCGTGCAATTGTCATTTAAAGTGTGACAGAGCAGAAAGCTGGCCTGGGCAGGAAAGGGGTGAGTGCCTGGTATTGAAGTGGTTAAGTGTTAGGGTATCTAAATCTGTTAGTCCATCTAACACCCCCCCCCCCCCCCCCCCCCCCCAAACTGACAATGCTGCTGTCCTAGGGTGTCTTTGTTGCTCCTTCATGGAGAGCGGAGACACCCTAACTAGCAGGATCACCAGGTGAAACTAAAGGGGGGGGAGAAGCCTAACAAAAAAGAAAACGAATGCAGCCGCCACATCTAAGGATCAATATTTTTTATATATATATATATATATATATATATATAAAATTATTTTTTTTTTTTTTATATTGTGTAAAAAAAAAATGTTTCTTCTCCCTTTCCCTCCACTGGAGACGATGAATTATGCACATTGGGGGGTAAATTGTCAAATGTGCCACCAAATCTTTGTGTAAAGTACATGGATTACTGTCACCGTTTCCACCATAGGAGGATACTGGAGGAGGGGGGGGGGGGTTCCCTGGGGCAGCTTTATACACAGAACTGTCAGGATCCATCCTATAAAATCAGCAGAAGGTAAAGAGGACCTGTCTGTGAAGCTGGCCGTAAGTTGTGTGAATCCTGGCTGGTACAGTGGCTTAGTGGTTAGCACGTCTGCCTTGCAGTAAATGGGTCATGGGTTCGATTCCCCACCATGGTGCCTCCTGCATGGAGTTTGCATGTTCTCCCTGTGCTTGCGTGGGTTTCCTCCCACATTCCAAAGACATGCTGGTAGGTTAATTGGCTCCTGTCTAAATTCTCCCTAGTATGTGTATGTATGAATGTGAGTTCGGGACCTTAGATTGTACACCCCTTGAGGGTTAGGGACCTTAGATTGTACGACCCTTGAGGGTTAGGGACCTTAGATTGTACGCCCCTCGAGGGTTAGGGACCTTAGATTGTACGCCCCTCGAGGGTTAGGGACCTTAGATTGTACACCCCTTGAGGGTTAGGGACCTTAGATTGTACGCCCCTCGAGGGTTAGGGACCTTAGATTGTACGCCCCTCGAGGGTTAGGGACCTTAGATTGTACGCCCCTCGAGGGTTAGGGACCTTAGATTGTACGCCCCTTGAGGGCGGGGACTGATGTGAATGTACAATATATGTGTAAAGTGCTGCGTAAATTGACGGCGCTATATAAGTACCTGAAATAAATAAATAATACATTTTGGGCCAGTTCCAGATGAATCTGTGAAATGCGCTCAGTGGGTGGTCCTACCAACCCCCTCCATTTGACAAAAGGTGATCCTTTTGATTGACTTTGAAGGATCCTGCTGGAAGAGTAAAGTATGTTTTCCTAGGGGCCCATAGGGGGGCGTACCAGGGAGGGGGGCTGACCTGGATAAGTGTTCTCCTGACTCGGAGCTGAACAATTCTCTCTCTGTTCTCTTCAGGCCGCCAGCCGACATGAGACCCTCGCCAGAATGAACCTGGAGAAGAAGGCTCGCCTCAGGTCTGAATCCGAGGAATAGTCTGCATCCGAGGAATAGTCTGCAGGGGAGAATAGTCCATCCTCCTAGAATGTGTAGATTGTAGTGACGTCTCGGGCTGATGTATGGTGATGATCACATTATATAAGCTACGTGTTTAGAGACCGTGTTCTGATCAGTGGGATCCCCCTATAGATATATTCAGGGGGGATCCCCCTACATAGATGTGTTCAGTGGGGATCCCTGTATGAATTAGATCAGTGGGGATACCCCCCCTAAATCTGGTCAGGGGGATCCTCCACATAGATATACTCAGTGGAATCCCTGTATAAATTGGATCAGTGGGGCTCCCCCTATATATATATATATATATTAGAGGGACCCCCTACATAGATCTGATCAGTGGGATCCCCTCTATAGATGTACCCAGTGGGATCCCCCCCATAGACGTGATCAGGGGGATCACCCCCATGGATATGCTCAGTGGGATCCCTGCATAAATTGGATCAGTGGGGATCCCCCTGTAGATGTGTTCAGTGGGCTCCCCCTGCATATATAGAAAATTAGAGGGATCCCCTACATAGATCTGATCAGTGGGATCCCCTCTATAGATGTACCCAGTGGGATCCCCCCATAGACGTGATCAGGGGGATCACCCCCATGGATATGCTCAGTGGGATCCCTGCATAAATTGGATCAGTGGGGATCCCCCTGTAGATGTGTTCAGTGGGCTCCCCCTGCATATATAGAAAATTAGAGGGACCCCCTACATAGATCTGATCAGTGGGATCCCCTCTATAGATGTATCCAGTGGGATCCCCCCATAGACGTGATCAGGGGGATCACCCCCATAGATATGCTCAGTGGGATCCCTGTGTGAATTGGATCAGTGGGATCTCCCTATAGATATGATCAGTGAAATTCCTCACATAGTTATGTTCAGTGGGATCCTACTATAGATCTGGTCGGTGGGATCCCCCTGTAGACATGATTGGTGGGATCCCAACATATGCACATACATAGGATGGTTCCATACCCCTTCTGGAGCGGGCGCAGTCTCCCCGACAGTGGAGATCTGAGGTCAAACAGACTGATTACGTCTCGAAGTCTCCGGTCCGTAACGTTGGCTCGTCGTTGAGGGTAAATGTCGTTTTGTATTTGGCTTCCTCTGACATTTCAGCATTTTTATTGAGTGTTTTTCATTCACTTCCTGAGAGTCACAATAAAATGATATCAGACTTCGCTGCGTATTGTTATGTTTTCTGCACTTCTAGCCAACAGGCCGGGTCCGTGCGACGTGGAATCCCGGTATTGGGAGGGACCGATGTGAACATTGCAATGGTCTTGTCACTCCTAAAGGCGCACTTCACTGTTTTATATTGCAGAAGAACTTTGGTCTTGGTCCCAGCCCCCCTCTTATTTCCCCCCCCCCCCCCCCCTTCCTACCTGTTATGCGGCTTCATCCCCAAGTCAGATACTCACCTTCATAGAGGGTCCAGACTTGTCCTCTAATCGATCAGGCGCTGCAGCCCAAGTCCGCCATGTTTCCCAGCTACCGCTCCCTGGTTCAGGCAAGCGGCCCCAGTGAGGGTTCAGTAGATTTGCCTACCAGCCGCTGTGAGTCCCAACTCCTGTAGCCTCCTGGGTTATGTGATGGGCACATCCCAAGAAGCTGTGGGCGCACAGACACGTCATCTAAAGAAAAAATGGTGGCAGGGGGCGGGGCCACATTAAAAAAAAAAAGTACATTTAAAATTACAGGGCATGGGAGGAAGGTGATTGGTTGCAGAAAGGAAAGTTCCTGTTTGGGAATGAAGGTCCCCTTCACTAAATGCAAGACAATGGATGATGAAAATTTTGACCTTGAAGCCTGCAGAGCATTGAAACGGCAATCGGCGTGTTGTGGGACCCGGCGTTCACTACATCGACTCTCCCCAGGCCCGGCGTCCGCTGTCCCCGCCCCCGTGCGTTCGCTGCGTCCGCTGTCCCTGGACCCCCGTGCGTTCGCTGCGTCCGCTCTCCCTGGACCTGGCGTTCGCTGCGTTCGCTCTCCCCGGACCCCCGTGCGTTCGCTCTCCCCGACCCCCCGTGCGTTTCGCTCTCCCTGGACCTGGCGTTCGCTGCGTCCGCTCTCTCCCCGGACCCCCGTGCGTTCGCTGCGTCCGCTCTCCCCGGACCCCCGTGCGTTCGCTCTCTCCCCAGACCCCCGTGCGTTCGCTGCATCCGCTCTCCCCAGACCCTACATTCGCTGCGTCCGCTTTCCCCAGACCCGGCATTCGCTCTTCCCGGACCACCATGCGTCCACTCTCCCCGGACCCCGTGTGTTCGCTGCGTCCGCTCTCTCCCGGACCCCCGTGTGTTTGCTGCGTCCGCTGTCCCCGGACCCCCGTGTGTTCGCTCTCCCCGGACCCCCGTGTGTTCGCTCTCCCCGGACCACCGTGTGTTCGCTGCATCCGCTCTCCCCAGACCCAGCGTTCGCTGCGTCTGCTCTCCCCGGACCCCCGTGCGTTCGCTCTCCCCGGTCCCCCGTGCGTTCGCTGTGTCCGCTCCCCTCTAGCAATGCACACCAAACTGAGCATGTGCAGCTTGCGCCCAAGGCTCTGTACGGTCACCAGATGGATTGGGGACAGTAGAAGGGGAGGATCAGAAAAGACAGGATCAAGCAGCCTTTTTACACAATGCAGAGGATTAACCCCTTAGGTTCCACAGTGAGTATAACAAGCACGCTTTACTGCATCTACAGACTGATTGGACTGTTGGGGGGTTCAGGAACACTTTAAAGAGGTGGATATCTTCCTGAATAACATGGGAGAAGCCAAAGATCCCTGGGCACACCTGATTTATACCTCTCTACACACATGTGCATTGCACGGCAATCATGGGTTTAAATCAGGTGGTGAGGAGGCAACACACCGCCACCTGTCAAACACACTCTGATCACTTTTCAGAGGAGCAGCAGTGCCTGCCTGCACTTGTGAATGGGCCCTTAGTTGCATTCGGCAGCAGCACTGTCAGGGCTCATTCATTCATAAAGGTGGGGGGGTAAAACCCTGCAGTTGGGTTTCCATTTTACCACCCCCTACCCCCTTTAGCTGCTGAATCCGCAGCCAAAGGTGTACCCTGCCGGAGCAGGGATTAAGCCCTCTGTTGCTTTCGGTGGGTACTGCTGCTGCCTGCAATCGTGGCACACTCAAGTAAATGGGGCCACTCTGCAAGCGCCCCAAAACTGCATGCTTCTGCGGGGTCCAAGGGGTTAGAGCAGGGGGGTAAGAGACCACACACCGCTGCCTGTTTAACCCCTCATTTGCGGCACTGCACAAGGTTGCAGAGCGACCTTATTCACTTGAACTGGGTCACGCTTGGCAGGTGCTACACCCATCAACCAAGACGGGCGTATAACTCCTGCTGTGGCTGCGACATGTGTACACCCCTGGCCACTGCAGCTCAAGGGGGTGCAGTTAGGGCGGGACTGGTAAAAAAAAAAAAAAAAAAGTCTTAACTATTAGGTTTTACCACCCCCCAAACTGCAAATGTAAATGAACCCTTACTGTCTCTGAGGCTGCTTTAAACACTGCTGTGCTGCGGTTTTGCCTTCATCGCGGGTGCAGCTCAGCGCATCAACAGCTTTCTTGGGTTAGTTGCGCTTTGCATAGACTTCTATTATATCCTGCAGGTGTGGTGCATTCAGGAGCTTTCAGAAAGTCAAATCCGCAGGATATAATAGAAGTCTATGGCTAAGTGCAGTAAAGCTGCAGGTACACTGCACTGCATCCGTGTTGTGGGGTGAACCGCAGCAGATACGTGTGAAAGCAGACCTGTACTATTATGCCCAGTGTATTGCTTCACACGGACCTGAAGATCTCTTCTTTCCTGCTGCTGGCACCACTCGAGACCGCTAGCCGGGATAAGAGGTGGGGTGCAGCTGGTATCATGGGACAGGAGCCGACACTACAGAGGAGGCATCATCTTATGTGGCTTTTGCTCCCTACTGCAACTTTACATGTAGTCCCTCTGCATTGCACTCTGTATGATGCTCTGGTGATTGGTAGATGGTGGTCAATATGCCCAGACCACCATCTACCAATCACCTGGCCGCCATCTACAGGTCGCTGGCCGCCCCCCCCGGTTTTGCTCATTTCCGGGCCTATATAGGGGTGCAGACCTTCTGTTGTGAGTAATGGAAGAAGTGATTAATGGACTGCAAGTGCGGGGACATTGCTGCATTACACAATCTGTGAGGCTCCCCGCCACAGTGACAGATGGGACTTGTAATCTTTTTCCCCCCCCCCCCCACGTAAGTGACAGATGGGACTTGTAATCTCTCTCCCCCCCCCACACAGTGACAGATGGGGCTTGTATTTTAACAATGTAATCTCTCCACCCCACAGTGACAGATGGGACTTGTAATCTCTCCCCCCCTCCCCCCACAGTGACAGATGGGCTTGTAATCTCTCTTTCCCCCCCCCCACAGTGACAGATGGGGCTTGTAATCTCTCCCACCCCACAGTGACAGATGGGACTTGTTAGTTCCCGCCACAGTTACAGATGGGACTTGTAGTCTCCCTGCCACAGTGACGCAGATAGGACTTGTAGTTCCCCCCCCCCCCACAGTGACAGATGGGACTTGCAGTTTCCCCCCCCCCCCCCCCCCCCCCCACAGTGACAGATGGGACTTGTAGTCTCCCTGCCACAGTGACAGATGGGACTTGTAGTCTCCCTGCCACAGTGACAGATGGGACTTGTATCTCCCCCCCCCCCCCCACAGTAACAGATGGGACTTTGCACAGCCGTGCTGAATTCATATCTAACTGAATCCTGTATAATAAAATATTGTCAGATCTCTGCAGGGAGCGGCACCCAGCGATTCAGGTAAGTGTGGGGGGGGGGGGGGGTGGAGGGTTTGGCAATGTGATCATGTGGCACCCTGAGTATGGGGGTCTTTAGGGATGGGCTTCATGTTTGAGTCGGTGAACACACGAACGAACAGTACGGGCATTCACCTGCCACGCCCTGACAGTGCATTGTGATTGGTCAAAGCAATG